TAAGAGGTCACCCACTGAAACTGACAACGCAGTATAGCCGGCTTGAATGCCGTAAAAATTTCTTTTCCCTCCGCGTGTTGCAGCCTCTGAACGCCCTCCCTAATTATGTCGTCTCTGCTCCCAATTTTGCGATATTTAGAAAACGTGTTGACGATGCGCTGTCTCACTTACATTTCATTTTATGACTTGTTAGCCAGGGGCTACAAAACGCAATCAAACGGTGTCTTGCCAAACGCCTAACCATGGATTTATGGATTTATACGTTTAATACGCGAACATCTCCGTTATTCTACATAAGTTTACGGTGAGCCCACCACAACGCTTTTCACTTTATCATGCAACTGATTTTTGCAATAATTTCCATCCTACCTGACTTGTTAAGCAGCGCTTTTTTACCCGAAATAAACCATTGTTCTTTTGGGCCGCAGTGATTATGTGACGTTAGTGTTTCATTACATGAGCTACGCGGATTATCTTAAAGAGCATGCTGATGAATATCATGTTGTAAACAACTATGACGACCTGTCCTACCACATTGGTTCAACAAGCTGGTCGTTCTTAGCTGAATTAACCCCTGAGGTAGCCTGCGGAGAATTCGCCAACATATTTGCCTAGCTCGTCGCAAGGACATCTGAAACCAAACTCTGCCGGCCTAAAAGGATGAAGTCTTTCGTAAGGAGCAGGACACGTAAATGCATGGCATTAAGGGACTTGGCAGGGCACACCTAACTAGCCTCCCCGGACGACCATACCTGGGATGTCTAAACAATACAAAGAAACCACTGTGTCAAACTCGTCCGGGAGGATAAATTGAAGAACCAGCAAGGTCTAGTGGCAAAGTTTTGCTCCCATCCCAAACTGCTATACAGACACGTAAACTATTCTCGCTGCGTTAAGCGCGGTATTCCTGTTCTGCACACAGCATGCGGGTTAGCCCAAACCGCACAAGAGGCGGCCAACGTTCTTGGACAACAATTTGGCCGTACCTTCCCAAGCGTGAAATCATCATACTTCCTGCCTAAGCAGATAACGCCGCCATCAGGGCTTAATCACATATCGTTCACCTCCGCAGCTGTACTGAAGAGGCTGATGTCTCTGGGCGAGTTAAGCTCCCGGGTGCTGATGGCATTCGCCCGAAGGCTTTGAAAGTTGCTGTCATGAGTTTGGCAGGACCATTAACAATTTTCTTTCAACGATCTCTGAACGAGTTGCACATCCCCGCGATGTGGAGGTACGGAAGCATCATGCCAATCTACAAAAGTGGCAGTCGTGCTGAACCACTAGTTCCTGTGATCTCCAAGGTTATGGTGTCCATTGTAGCTGAGGCTTTGATGGGGTACCTGGAAAACAACAAAATCCTCGGTCCGGAGCAACACGGATTTCGCCAAAGTCGCTCCTATACCACTAATCTGTTGGTTGCTCCTGCAGGCTGGACGGAATCTGTGGACATCGGCGTAGGTGTCGACGCGGCCTACTTGGATTTCTCAAAGGCATTCGATCGTCTAGATCATCGCATTCTCCCCTACAAACTCCCGAAATATGGAATCGGCGATCCTGTTCTGGGTTGGATAGGAGAATTTCTCGTGGAACGTCACCTGAATGTGAAGGTGCGAAGCAACCTGTCGAAATCCATCGAAGTGCAGTGCTCGGTACTTGGACCCAGCCTGTTCCTGATTTTCATAAATGATCTCGCGAGCGTGCTATCTTTAATCTGTTTGCTATTTGCTGATGATCTAAAGGTACGGCTAACTATAGCTGCAGTGGAGGATCACACAGCGTTACAGGAGGACCTGGACAAAGCGTACACATGTTCCATTGAGAACATGCTGCATTTCAAAGTCACCAAGTGCAAAGTTCTCTGCACACGGCACAAGAGTATGCACAAGTACCGCCTAGGACCACAAATTCTACAGCGGGCTTCTCACGGGTGCGATCTCGGCGTGATAGTTCAAGCTGACCTCGGTTGTTTGAGGCAGACTAAAAAGGCAGCTAAGAAAGCGAACCAGTACCTCGGCCTTCTTCGCAGAGCCTTCGGGAAGTTTGACCCTTCGATCTTTCCAAAAATGCTTAGTGCGTACGTGAGGCCGCGCGCGGAATACGCTATCCAAGCGTGGCAACCCTGGCTCAAGCACCATCACACCGCGCTCGATACTGCACAAAGTAGGGCAACAAAGAGCGTCAGAGGTTTGACCAGCCTCCCCTACCCACTCAGGCTGAAAGCTCTCAAAATATACAGTGGACGTTATCGGCGTCCAAGGGGCGATCTCATAATGGTGTACCTAATCCTGAGAGACCCCAACCACCCATGCCATTCCCTTCTAATACTCAGTCAAAACACCTCGCTAAGAGGTCACCAGTTTAAGTTAGTCACGCAGAACAGTCGACCGGAATGTCGACGAAACTATTTATTCCTTCGAGTAGCACAGCCTTAGAACGCCCTCCTGGAACATGTAATTAATGCACCCACGCTATCCCTTTCCAAAAAACGCATTGACAATACCCTGTCACATTTACACTACGTGCTATAGCCCATGACCACCAGATGCTGGCACTAATGCACAACAGACATTAGATAGGGCCATAACCCTACTCGGGAATGAGTCACTCCAAACCCCTTGCACAAAAGTTGGTAAAATTTGATGAACGCTACTACTATAGAAAATAGATTTCTGTATCCCGTTGACCCAAGATAGTTGCACACGAGTAAGCGTTGTCCTTGCTATTTTTTATTTTTTTTCTCGCCTATAACGTGATCAGTAGCCACTCCCCTTACTGCTTTATGTTCGTACATTCTCATTTCAAACCCCCTTTATACCGCAGTGCAGTTAGATCTGTAATCGCTCGAACTGACGACTCCATTATCCCATGATCTTTCTTTTCTCACTCTAAACACCCTACGTGACATATCAAGCACCTGCTTTTTTACCCGTCATAAATCATTGTTTATTGTTTATTGTTCACGTCTATCGATCCACTAACTCTAAGACCTGTTGTTAGCGCAGGCTAGGGTAGGCGGGGAATAAGGTCAGCGATCAGCTGTCAAGTTGAAACAAGTTTACAGAGTTCCCGTCGCTCTTGTGACCGTGGTGCTTATCGACAGAGTGCAGCTGTGTCCGTGTTGCCGGCCGTGTGTGATGGCTTGGCCTATTGATCCCCCACGGTCAAGAAGCGAGTCGGCAAAGCAGACTTGCCTAAGAGTTGATAAAAGTTCGTTGCAGGAAAAGGTAGATTATTCCGCAGATGCTCCCACAGTGATGAACTGGAACAGGTAAGAGCTCGTCCGAACTCCGCTGGAGTGCTTTATCAAGTGAGACAAATTGTCTGCGACGTGTGGAAATACACAGGTATTTCCGAATAGGCGTGGGTGACACACTGCCCGTAAGTAACAGTTCTGTGTAAATGTATGATGTACTAGTAGGGTCTTCAAAAAATAGTATAACAAGGTGATGCTTTTCCATTCAAAACGAATAAGTACGCATGCAGAATGCAGCTGAGGAATAGCGAAAATACCTGGGGTACGCAAATGCACAATTAGCACGCTTGTTCGTTCAAGGTCACATTATACAAACCATATGGTTGACGAACTCAAGGTTTGTTTTGACATGTGGAAATGAGACAGAGCAATCAGCTCGTAAATATTGATAGAATTTTGTTGCTGTTGTTTCTGTTTATCGAAGATGTAAGCTGATATGCAATCTATGCAAATTGATGTGTGCATCTGCAATAAGTGAGGTTTCTGCAGGAACGATTTAGAGCCCCCTCACTAACATTCAACTGAAGGACCACTGATTAGTGGTAATGTGAGCCAATTCATGGGACGGTTCCTTGTGGGATATCGGCCAGAATTAAGAAATTCTGGTAATCCGCCTCATGATTCCCGTGTTTCCGTAAGAGATGTAGTCAACACATGTATAGTTAACGGACTGGTTAGTTAAATAAATAAATACATGAACGGTACTTTCCTCGACGGTGTGAGGCACAGTTCAGCTGGGTTGTCTGGTCAATTTGTGCAACGAGATGACATTCTTGAAGCCAAATATGGTGGCTAATCAGCCATTATTTCATCCAACCCCGAAGTCCAGGTTCACCCAGGGATCAGACCAACGGTGTTGATTAACAGCCCCAGGGTTTCCCGACTCTGGTATCTCTACTCCTCAACTCCGTGTGGAACGGTTTGGGGCGTGGAATAACTACCTTGCATAATTTCATAGTTCCTGGAAGTAAATTACACTCGTAACCCACCAAACCCATTGGTGTACTCACCCCTGACTACGATAAAGGCATTCAGTGCTTTTGTAGTTCACTTTGGGTGGTTGAAACAACCTATTTGGTTTGGGTCCACGAGGTCAGGCTCCTCGAACGGAAGTTATGACTCTGAATACCCATCATTGCAGCCTTCTACCTCCTCAGCGCGACGGTCTCATTGATCCCAGGGATCCTTTCTGCCTTCATTCAAAATGCTTTTCGAGCCGGATAGAGACACTCTATCTGAGCTAGAGTGACACATGAACTTGGCGACTGCTCAACAAATAAAAAAATGGGTCCATGTCATTTCTGGAAATGCCTATGACTGAGGATGCAAGTACGATGGTCCGGTTTAAGCAGGTATATGACCGGGGAACTATATTCTAGTTGAGCGCAGTTTGGTCAGTTTTAACACAAATGAAGGCACTTGGAGCATCAAGTCGATGATCATTTGCTCAAGACACACCCGTGCAAACGCCTACTCATTGTATGATGCCCGCTACAGGTAGACATGTATGGACGCCTACTTTCCTGAAATAACTAGCTTTTATCTGTCAAAAGCCGTCCTTCCTCAGACGTTTTGTGTCGTCATTTGAGTAGGGCCAAAAGGAAGAATTTCTTCGAAGTATCGCTTTCACAGATGCATGGGTCAGTTTTATTAACTACGCATTTCACGCGGTCGATCTTTGCCGATAGGTGCGTTAAAACCCAGAGACATTGAAAATAACAATGAATTTAATTCAAAAATAACTCACCTCAGTAGCTCCCTCGATTCATCTTCAGTTGCCAAGTTACGGATTAACCCAATTACAGACTTCGTCAGTGGCAGCTTTGTAGGTTCCCCACCATCGTCTAGCAGAGCGACGATTGTTCTCAGTGCATCGTTGCTGCGTATCTGGTTGAAATGAAAATGGGACAGGTCAGTAGTCGTTTATTAACAAAACAAGGGATCAAAAAAGTCCGTCGACCAACGGGATCAAGCCAGGTAAAACGGATTTCCCCGAAACTGATATTGCTACTTTGTAGTACGGGTAAATCTGCTTTCCTTGCTTTCATCAATGTCGACAATTGGCGGACAGTCGCTCCGAGGCGCATACAATTTATGGAAGTAAACGGAACTCATCATAAGTAAACTCATAAGGACAGCTGTAAATATCGGCTAGTGACATTAGATGATAATTCCATTTATTGAACGTAGCAGTTGTACATTATCTCACTCCGATGATAAAGCGAAATCCCGAATGTTCGACGCGACCTTCCCCACCAGGCTTGAGGAAGATGTACAGCTAACGTGTCCTGCACGAACAAATATTTATCCAAAACTTGTGCCCCTTTCTGCTTGTCGCTCACTACGAGCGGTTCTCATTATGCGTTACCTTACAACTTGATCCCATATGTCTACGTTGTATACGCCTTAACCTTATTGTTTTCTTTTATGCCCTTAATAAAATATACATTTCACAAATCCGGTGTACTGCAGCTAAAAGAACCGGCAACGTATCGCGCCAAAACTAGAACAAAGTAATAGTGCAAAGATCAAGAACTAAGTAGTCCGGCAACTTTTTCCTTAACCGATAATCCATAGTATGGTACGAGCTTGCTAGTGAGATACGTGAAATCCAGGCAGCGACAAAGTTTTCAGTGGCATTGCACTCACTTCTCAACGTTGAAACGGCTATCGGTATCCTGAAACCAAATATGACAGAGAAGTGTCCTTATGAAACTGGGGCGTGATAGATATGATTTTGAATGTTGGGTTTCCTCTTTTCGCCCGACTCGGTTGCTTCTCCCACGGTTAGCAGTGACTGTTATTTTGTCCAACGACGAGAATTTTCCACAAAAATTGCTCTTAGTTTTTTGGTTTTATTTCCTTGCATTCATTCTACACTACTAATTATCTTCCATTCTATCCTGGAGGCGACAATTCAGGTACACGCTGCAGCTCACCGTACTTCACGACATCCACATCGATTTTAAATTCTATGCTTTTCGATTGGTTCCACCTGAGGGAACCACACCAAAATCTTCCAGAAGCTACACTACTCCTAAATAGTTCGAACACTTATTTGTTCACTCCCATTGTTGTGCAAATTGAATAAGACTATCGTCGGACTAGATCACATTCCAGAGAAGCTTATAACATTTACTCATGGTAGTTCTTATTTCACTTCATTATTTTCCTTTACCTTCCATGGTTGGTCATGATTGGATTGATGTCCTGTAGTGATGCATTAAAACTTCCATGCTAATTATTTACACCCACGAAAGGCGAATTTTCACGAACTCACTGATGAGAAAAATTCCTGGACTCAAATGTGGCAGATATTGGAACGCGCTGAATGACTTAGGGGGCGGATACCTGTACTTACACCGCAGCCCCAAAGACGAGTTAATACGGTGTTGGCCTATTCGTTCTTTAGCAATATTAGCACAGTAGCGGACTACTCTGATCAGAACAGCAATCATCATGGCGGCCTGTTGCTTAGAAAGCAACACAAAGCGAATCAACAAGATGGATTATTGGCTTTTGAGCCACATCAGCACATGACCAGAAGAGGTGTGGAAGTGCAGCTGAAACCTGTTAACGGACTGCTCTGCACGGGAGCTTGTCCGCAGGAGACGGTTCCACGGATAACCGTATTACTTTATTTGAACTGCTGGCTATACTCACAATTCTTTCTGCTCACTACTTTCCGTATTTTTACTACTTTAATTAATAGTACACCCCAAAATGTCTCTGGGAACTACCTTGTGAAACTGGATTATGTTAAACATAATGAATTCAGACTACGCAGTGGATCTGTGTCCTGCACCGTCGAGAAGGCTATCATCTGTTTATTTTTACTCAAAGTTGCACCGATTCATCGCTGAAGTCAAGTACATCTACTTGATGCGGAGAACACGTGAAGAACAAACAGTCCTAAGGATGACATGCAAACAAAAGGGTTTATCAAAATTCTGCGTCGTAGGACCAACAACCACCCCTAACTGATAACTGAACTGATCGAGGAAGGCTACTCCTACTAAAACGCAGTCGCAATCCGTGAGGGAATTAGCTCGTTCTTTGTCACCTCCATGAACCTGGGGACTGACCCTATAGCTACGGACATGAATGCAGAAAAGGAATAAGGCTCTATCTAGCATTGATCTCTCTCCTCGCAACATCCACCAGACAAGTAACTCTATTCAGCTGTCCTCCATTCTGCAAGCTGATGGCATCCCCCTGTCCGCCATAAAACTTGGAGGGCCTGATATTCTATTGCTCCGTTTGAAATTGTTTACTATTTCATTGGGATGGAGCCACTTTCTAGATCAATGGAATACTTCGTTTCTTATCCCCCGCCACAAGGGCTGCGCAAAACAAAAGAATGACGATTACGAACAAATCCGTCGGACTCCTATAACCACTACTTTATTCGAAAAATTGGTTAAAAAGGGCGTAAAGAATTTCATTAACTTGTTGGAGCTGACTGACAAGTCCCCAACGTGGTTTCCTTGACAAACGATCATGAACAAACTGTTAGCTACATTATTTGAACTACACATCAGACTCAATTGACTCAAGATATGCAATCTAAATACTATTCTTGGACATGCAAAAGGCATTTCATCGGATGTCTCACAAATGCTTATTAATAAAAATAGCTTTCTTTGGGGTCCAGGATCCACTACTCGATCGGCTATCCTAATAGCTGAACGGTAGCTCTCAATTAGTCACCTTAGGCGACTATTGCTCTTTCCCGCGTCCAACTGCCAGCGGGGTTGAACAAGGATGTGTGCACGGCACATTAATTTTCCTTCTTTATATCAATGACATCAGTTTGGTTATCAAATATGGCATGCCATTCTTGTCAATGACATAATAATTGTCTATAAGTTCCGACGATTTGACCTTCAGCATGTACTAATACTCATTCAGGATGATATTCATTCCCTTCAGACTTGATGGGACAAGTGCATGAAGTTCTCAGCACAAAAATCGTATCATGTATCGCGGTTGTTGAATACTCGAAGGATCTAGCACGCTTAACATCGAATTTATCTGTGTACAACGGTCTACACACTATCTCGGTATCAGGTATTTTTATACCTTTAAGTTTTCTAAGCAGTTTGAGTACAAGATAGCACGAGCCAGTTAATTCGTGGCCAATATATCTCAAAAGGTGCATACAATCTCAATCAGAGTTGAATTTTATAAACTCGTTACTCCTCTCATCCTGGACTATTTCAGCATGATCTGTGGCGACATGAAGAAATCTGACAGAGCAGTCACATAAAGCAAACAGCGGTCATTCAACAAATACCTATTAGGCAAAAGCTCTACCGAGTTCTTTTGAGAGCGGTGCCAGTAAGTCCATCTCAATCCGCTTTGGCTGCGAAGACTAAATCAGAACTTGATACTGCTGTGTAATCTGCTTCATGGCAATACTTACTGCAATCTACCCACATTAACGTTGTAACACAGTTCTACTTAGGATCTTCGTAACATACTTTACCTTTGTTATATCATGACCCAGGACAAATTTGCGGTTTTTCTTTCTAACGAGATATGCTGCTCTATGGATTAGGCTCCAAATCACAGTCAGGTCGTGAAAGACTGCAATCATTTCGCAGTAAGCTGGGAAGCTACCTCGATCGGAACACCATTATATCATTTGGTTCGTGGTGAAGAGCACTTAACAACCTATTTAAGGAAGGCCCAGCTAAAGTCTAATGGGTGAAATACCAGCTTTACAAAATGTAATTAGCCATCAGTGTTTGCATTCTACTCAAAACATAAAAGTTCCTTAACTTCGAAAAAACACAAACATGAGGCATGTACCTTACCAGAAACACAGAAAGTATAAAAACATTACTTTATATTGCCCATGCAAGGGTATGAAAGTACTTAAAAATATATGTTATGTGCCAAGTATGGAAGCAGATTCTCAGTTTATGAAAAGTATGCCTATTATTATTATCCTTGTGAAGTTGTCGTTCTATGCCGCTAAGGAAACACCGTTCGCTACATATAGCTGTAATAGACTACTCTCACTGACTCCAAGGAACTGACCTCGTAAACTGCGGTGTCCGCGTATGGGCTTCGATGTGTCACGTGACGTAGAGCCGAGCACACAGGTTCCGAGATTTCTTGCCGTAACGGGTTTAACATAAGGAGTTGGCAAAGTCGGGTGACACCACCTGTCAGTTTAAGCAAAATTGCGAGTGAACGTAAGTATAAGGTAATGGTATGTGCACACCTAACTAACTAAACTAAATGGCTGGAAATATAGTCAGAAACTCATCTTATCTAGATTCAGTCAGATGGATATATACTGAGGTTCAGGAGCGAGCCCAACACTCGTATGTGCTTGACACACATGAGCTGCACGAGAGGCTTGTCTAGTGAGATGGGCAGAAAGTACTGAGCACATATTGTGTTTGAGGAAAGGTAGCAACACGGGATCAAGCGCCAGCCATGCAATCCAGCTCACCCTAACTAATGTAATCACTGTTGCTTTACACTTGTAGTGCCTAAAGTTGTTTCAAAGAATAAAAATTTGCTACGAAAATTGCTTTATCTGCAGAGCATCAATCAGTGTACATCCTCATCTATGCACTGTACAGATGGTCCTCAAGTGTTATCATTTCGAAACCAAAGTGTCGCTACCTAACTTATGCCCCACCGATTATTGAGCTCAGGTACCCTTGAGTACCATTATGAAATCAAATTTATACAGAAGTGCTGAATGGTTCACTATTGACCATCTTTTCGTTTGTGCAATGCACAAGCGACGTACCTAGCCCATTCATTTGTCGTTTTATCGGCCACCGTTCCTTTTCAGGATTCACGATTATGTGTTTGTCCATGGGTAAGCCGCTTCTGCTCCTCTCGACAAGCATCATATAATTGGTGTCAACAGCACTCCGAGCTTTTTCTGCCAAATGACTACCACCAGTCGTGGACAGTCCAGAGATACAGTAAAGCCGCCAAACTCTACCAGTATTCGAAATGGTGACCTAAGGATTACAAGGTAGATGACGTTAAAGAATCCGTCATCGGCCGACATCCTATAACTGACTCTGCGTCATTCACAATGTGTGCTCTGTATTCATATTCCATCCTGGTACCACCAATCAGAGGGGAAAGACTTCCTTGGGTTGAAGATGAGTAATCCTTGCATTATCCTTGCTTGCATAGGCTGATTATGTCCCCTGACGATGTAACAGCAACAGTTGTAACATCGCAGCGATCTTGCCCCGGATTTGTTTTATAGTTGCAGGAGAAGGGTGAAAACGAACAAAGCATGTCCCCCATTTTCGTCGTTCTCCTCACAACTAAAAGCAATCGTTGCAGTTTTTCCCGGCTGGTTGCATACTCTTGTTGTATGCTGTCACACATCGTACCGACGGTGTAGTTGCTATCTTTCCGCCCCAAATTTGTGTTTCGTCTGCGATGATGCGCTACCATGTTTGATCGGCAGCACAATCAATTGTATCCCATTTATGTGAATGGGCCAACGAAATTATGTGGCTTTGGATTTTATTTATGCTGTCCAACTCAGTGATTGGGTCCTGTGGAGATCCTCAAAACGGCACTGAGAACGTCGTTTCACTACCAAGTTTAAACAAACAAAAAAACGGATGAACAATGCCCTCTCCTCATGTGCCATTGTTTGCTAACCACAGTGAGATGATCTTGTCTTTCGATATTCCAAAGCGAACGGAAATCCAGCTACGTCTATCATTAAAAGCGTTTGTTGTGATCTTCCGACTCGGGTTGGGTGAGTTCGTCGGGAGCTTATATACAACCATTTTCTTTTATTAGGACAACTTGCAAGACCCGCTGTGGTAGCTAAGCCGATCCTAGTAAATATAATTCGGCGGATCGCAGTTTCATCTAGCTGCGTTTATATATGTAGGATTTGCGTCCTTTTGCTTAAGTATGGCCCGAAGATAATTGCTATTAATTTGTGTACCATGTTCCCAGTTAAGTTTTCAATTGTAAGGTACCATATACTACGGAATATACGCCCGTCCATAGATAAGTCGACAGTATAAATTGCAAACTCAAATTTGTCCAAAGTCGTAAGTCCCTGTATTAGCCGACCCCCAACAAATCAGCAAAAGTGAAAGGAAATTGTTTCTGCAAGTGTTTGACGTCACTACAAGCTGCACTCACTCAAGTGAGTTCAAATGAAACCTGCTCTACTATTGGTCAGTTGTGGCCATAATGTTAGAATCGTGGTTAATGGGGCGTAGAGCTAATTGTGGATGTCTGTGAGTAGTGTAAAGTTCGTAGAAAGTAAAGTTAGGATTAAAATTCATACACAATAATGTGCCTCGATGAGGAATCGAACTTTACACTACTCACAAACATCCACAATTAATCTACCATCACCCTTAGGACATCCGAAGGACAGACACTTCGGTCCATTGGGAAGTGACGGGTGAGCGAGCCAATCTACAACACCGGGACAGATACTGTGAGCTCACTGGCAATACGTCGCGCATCAAGCAGAAGTCATGTAGTAAAAATTGCACACCTTTTCGTCAGCCCTCGGTAGCTCAGTGGTAGAGCAGCCGACCGGAAATTCGTTGGACCGGGGTTCGATTCCCCGTCGAGGCACATTATTGTGTGTGAATTTTAATCGTGACTTTACTTTCTACGGGCGTAGAGCTGTCAGAACAGACTTTCGGTGCACCGGGCAGTGTATTGACCAGATGTCAAGTCACATGAAACAGGTAAGGCAGCCGACAACATAGGGTAAGATACAGGGTGTCAGACAGGCTGCTTAGCAAAGTCGATGGCTTCATGCATACCATGGGTGAGAGGCAAGTTCACGGTCAAGCGTGTGGGATCGCTTGACATAACACTAGTTAAGGGCTTTTGATTCGCTACTGCCATCCGTCGCGAATGTCAAGTGTGCAATATACCGAGAATTTACGACACGAAATGTACTCCTAATCCCCGTTTAGAATACCGACCATCACTAGCGGGTGACGCTAAGGGGCGATAAGTGCAGTGGTGGGCAGTAAATTCCTGGGTGGATTTAGGGTGTGACTTTTCGAATACCGTATATGCTTTCTATCAACCGATCCGCCTCTACAGAACCGAAAAGTTGCCCAAAAATCATCGGCTTATATTCCGTATTATTTTTCTTTATTCGAAAAACGCGGCACCGATCTATATTTATTTCACACCAACTGTCTCACTAAACCAGCCGTGTGTACAGTAACGGATAAGATCATGGCATACGGACTAGCCTAACGTTGAAGTACAACGTCCGGGAAGCTCAGTGTAGCACCATATAATCAAAGGCAGACTGCTTTCGCTCTCAATTTACTTTACCGATGCAAGGTGCAAAGTACAGAGTGCCGAGCTGTTAGAAGTGTAGGCTGTAGATGAATCCACCACAATAGTAAGAAAGTGGTTATTTTTACCACCAGTCGGATCACGTGTGGATCAAGTTTACTGCAATAAATCGTAGACCATTCAGAAGAATTCCAATGCTCAGTCGAATGTGAAACATCTTTTTAACCGGCAATGCATCCAACAGTTCCCAATTCCGTTTAACAGTTACAAACGTGAATTCTTTTTGTCCGATCCCAGAGCCCACTTCGGCGGTACTACCCAAGACGCAAACTGGGGTACAGTTTGAATCCAGCGAAACTCTAATGGTAAGCATGATAAATTACGCTTCGATTTTTAGTTTATATGTCAAAGCCATCGCGAACAACAGATACAACTCGGTTTTGACAATCACTCGGTCCCCCAGTTCAAGTCTTATCCAAGGATTTAACAAGGAAAAATTCAGCGCTGGTGAGCAAAGATGAAAGTGAGCGACTTACAGGCGCCCCGACTGAATTATCGTCGGAAGTACCATTTTTTCAGTGGGTCAGCAAACTTGACATACCGTCTCACATGCTGACAAGTCTCTGATTGACTCGTTCGTGTCAACAAGACTTGTTGACCCGACACTATGTCTCTTTTCGAAGTCTTATGTCCACGGTTCCTTTGGCAGAGATTCAACGATCTACGAAATCAGTTGAAAAGAGCAATCTCTCAATTTCACTATTGGAAAACAACTTTGCGGCCAGTAAAATACGCACAGCTTATTGAACCATGAAGTGTGAAATTTCTGCATCGCGTTTCAGATGACCAGTTAGTTAAACGTGGTGGTACCTACTTGTTAAACAGGTGGGCATACTTACCTGATTCTACAACCAAACCTTTGTTGTCCGCGTTTTCACAAGTGAGATTACATAAACACCCAGCAGCGCAGATGGATATATTCTCGTCCATACTGGCCAATAAGTCGATTAAATGCAAAATCAAGTTTTTAGATGTGTTCAGATGAAACGCCTGGTCGCTAAGGTTGCGCAAACTCCACAGCGTTTCCAGTTGTAACATTTCATTGCTTGCATGCAACAGCGGCGTGAGTGCCTACAAAGTAGAGCAGAACAGAGTTCATATGTTGACAAGGATAAAGGTAACACGACGTAATGTTTTAATCAATTCAATAAGGTTCGTGAACGCTTGTACAAGAAATATAATCAAGTAGCAAACCGAAATGATGCTTTAGCTGCCAACAACCTCACTCAATGTCATTGTAGGACGCTAACAACGGCTGAACTCGACATACCGAAGCGGCCGTTGCATTGAATAGATGGTATGTTAGGAAGATTCAGTCAGTTAGGTGGGGATGGCAGAATCCGGGTTCGTATCCCAAAGCGCATGCAATGAGCTGCGAGTGCACTTTGTTTTGAAATTTTTGGCGCCTACCCTGACTTTTTCACCTCCGAGCGCAATAATATAGAATGCATACGACCTATATCAACGTTCGGACATTAACTGTGGTAAGAATGCCGCCTGTTCGTGTGAAAATGCACTTAGCTGTTTGACCGAACTCTTCCTCTAATCCATGCTTTATTTCCGGGGTCACGTACTAAGGCAATCGGTGTACTAACGTGTGATACATACACACAGCCCTAAAATGAGATGAACAATGTACTAGCACTTTAGATAGTATAAATGTAGAAAGCTTCCGATGAAGACGATAAAAGCTGAGCTAAAGATAACTCTTATAGTACAGCAAGCGGCTCTTGTCCATTTTTCATTCAGGCTCATTTACGGCATTTCTGAACCAAGTTAGGACGATCAATAGGATGACGAGTGAAACCTATTTGCCCCGGTAGACAAAGAAGAAAAGAATGTAAACGAATCGCCCCGGTAACGTACTGGGTGAATAATCCATAGTTTATGCAACTACACTCACAATTCCGATGCCATGTACACCGATTTTTATGCTTCTTGCTCGGGGGAGATTTTTGTGGGAAATTGGCACACTAGGATGAGTCACATTGCTAAACAGCAACTGTAAGTGTGCTGTAGGAACTGTAAACCAATAGTAAGGGAGGGTTCCGTAAAGACTAAGAACGGTGTGCATTAGTTTCGTTGGTTTAATTTGGTGCTCCTTCATTTGATTTGTTGATTGAACTGAACTTTTCAAATATGAGTAAAGAAGCCAGTAACGCACCCGTTGGAGTCGCAAGTGAATCTATTTGTGCGCATTGAAAAGTAGCCACTGCTTTCACCAGGCACCGATGATAATTAGACGGGTAGCAAACCCAACGAAAGCATCTGTTGGCCTGCGTAAAGCGGCTGTATCACGTTTCTATCAAAATCGTTTTTGATCAACACAACTTAAACATGGGATTGGCATTTTCTGGCGGGGGGGGGGTGTTGAATTAGTGAAGAAAGGGCGCTGGAGGTGTTTCGGTGTTTCTCCTTCCAACACTGACACCCCATGGCCGGTTTGAGTGGGATGTGTAAGCTCCGAAGCGTACATGCCTACCTTGGAAATGCTGAACCCGAGGGTTTTCAAAGCTGTTGTTAGTCTACTGTATTTTATATTTTTATCCAAATCATTTCACTTCATGGTAGACTTATCAGTACGACCAGTAATTGCCCGTATCGAATACTTGTGGTCACACTGACACCGATTTTATTTTTTATTCTACTGTGGCCAGTTTTAGGGTATATCAACTACAATTGTTTAGCGCCTTCTTGTTACTTCGTCTGTTTTGCTGTCTTATGTAAAGACAATTGCTCCTATCGTAAAGTGCTACTACAGCGCGAAATGCAAAGATCCACCTCCGTTTCTATCGATTGTGATAGGACCAAGAATAGAGGAGTCTTGCAACGGCATTCTTTACTATGGATCATATGAGCAAACCTTTGCATTGACCTGTAGTCTTGTGCTCTTCATAACCTGCTTTGGGTACACACTACACATTTCTTTCCTCTCGAATAGTTCTCTTGTTTACTATGAGCCAATTTTGGCTCAACCATGCACGCAGCAATCAGGATGTACCTGAAGTTATCAAGAGATATGCAATATTATTAATAATGACGCCGTCAACCAGAAGAAAACTGTCATACTTAGACTTCAATAATTCGCTCTGTGTTTTTGCTCCAAGTCTATCTGATGGCAAACATGATCACTTCGCCACTTTCAGTTAATTCCATACAGCTTCTTCCCTTATGCACCATCTGATGGTATCGTGCTTGTCTTGGAGCTCAAATTAGACTACCTCCCAATCGGGACTGCACGAGCATATGGATGCTGATGTTAATGATGGGCACATGATATTTCCCTTGTAAAGCTCTAGTACGGCGGAATTCCGATATTTGAGCGGAGCCTTAAAAGACCGGTTGGTTTGTAGAGTGTTTCCATAACCTTCTCCCTGGGTATCGCTCATTGCATTCGAAACGGCGCGCCATAATTTGTTTGTCCACCTCTGGGGGTTTTACCATACAGTCTTAACATTTAATAGCTACATGTGCACTATCCTAAGAACCCACAGAGGACTCACTAGAAATGTCTGTAAGCATTGTGCGAACAAGAAGTTCTCCACTTAAGTTGATGGAGACATCAGAAACGCTTTTGAAACATACGGATGCCACTGCTATTATTCCAACCGTTATGTCGGTAAAAATGAGGCTGCTAAGCAAAGCCGCGTTTACTGGTAAGCCAACTAGGGACAAAAAAGCGGCTAACCTCATGTGCAACCAGACTGGCTCCTCTGACCTTGTTCTCAGCGCCAGTGGGAATTTGCAAGCCATTCGTGACTAATTGGCTGAGCAAAAACCAAACTGCAAAACAAGATGGTCTCCACTTGGGCCTTAATAAATTTGAGCCTTTTACATATAACAAACAGTCCAGCGACAAATCCTTTAACTCCTATGGGGGCGTTTGCTGATACGATAGTCACATAAGCCTTCAATAGGATACGGTGCTCAAAAATGCAGTACTCCACAAAATTCCTGACAACATTGCTACCAATCTGGTACGGAATATTTTGACTATAACCAGTGATATGTCAGAGAAACCTTCTATTTGCTCGAGGCTAAGGAAGGAAGACCAACGCCGCCCCTGCCCCATCTGGTTTCAATTTGCGGATACTCCCACTGCCAAGGAGTTTATCGGAAAATAGGACCAAATTTCTGACAACACAACGTTTATCTCACTGAAAATTTATGCAGGTAGAACGCATTCGCAAACAGAACTCTGCGAAGAGAGAAGTTTCTCGTCTACATCGAGAAAAACCAGTCAACAGCACTCTTGCCTGTGCACCACCAATTGCAGCCAAACCTCTGGAAAACACAAATGGGTCCCAGGACAGTGTTAAAACTGACAATGCCATTGAAAGACTATGTCCTCGTGTAACAACTCAGTCCGTTTAACCAAGGGAACCTTGAAGCTCCACGAAGAGCGGACGTAAAAGCTAAAGAAATAAGCCTTGTGAGTGAAAAGAACACCCCATCCACGAGCCGAAATTTACCATAGTAAAGGAGAAAAAGTACCGAAACGCGGTTGTCCAGTGGCGGCGTAAAACACGAAACTTCCAAGTAATGGTCGAATGAAAAGTGCGTAAAATATTTCTCAATTATTTGCCGCATTGATGCAAACTATTTAATCCGTTAGTAATCAGCTTTCGTCCGAAATTTAGAAAATTTAATCTGATACGCATCTAAATTTAATCCAGATCGCATTGTGTGGTCAGCCGTAACCAGCCAATGGTGTCTCGATGCGCATACATTACCTGTGTACGCACGTAGCATGGGGCTGCCGATGAGATGCTCAGACCATTGTAAACCTGTGTGTCGTGTCCTGCAGCGCAGGCTGCCCGAGGGCGCTTCGCGAGCCTGTGTGCCTATTGGCACACATGAATAGTGCAGGCGGGTCACACTGAAGCGCAATCCAGCGAATACCCGCCTGGTCCAGTATCGTTGCAAAGCCCTGATCTAACGGCGGTCAAATGCACTCGGCGGGAGTTGAGGCCTCTGGTAGGTGCAGCTGAGAGCTGCCTGCATCGCGGTCACAAGGGCTACGCATGCTACCAATAAACAAGACGAGAAGCAAATGAGGTGTGTGTTCACGGTTGACTTTGTCCGAACTACCTGTGTGCGGTGTGCTCAGGAGCGGTGCCACATCGTATTGACCCCTACAGTGACGTCGCGAGAGCAAATTACAATGCACAAATCCTGTTGCTAAATCCAAGGATGAACCGTAACACTTCTACTTTGTTGCTTCCACTACGTTTGATCAAAAACGGATCTTTCAGTTCTCCAAGGCAGAGTGTCTCTATATACTTGCTGATCCATTCTCTAATCAATTCAGGAATCCAGTGGGCAATCAGGTTGCAGAGCGACTAAAAAGGAGCGGGTCGAAGCTGTAGTGCACTCAGTGTTGCAGTATGGGCTGGAGACATGGTCATTATGTCTGGAAGATATAATGAGCCTGTTCACACTTGCGTACTTTATTTCCGATTCTCGATCCTACCTGTTGGAAGCCTCGAACTAGAAATGCCAAGCTTCATGGCTTGGTTTTCAGAGACAAGCACTGCAAGTGCTTGCTGTGGAATTGTTGCTGAACTCGGACCGTCTGTGTTGCTGGGTCATGTTTTTCTCATAGCTGCTAATTGGCTGTGCAGTTACGCCTCTGTGACGACTATTGCGACGTTGTCAGACGAAGGCACTAGTGGAGAACCTAAAGATTCATACGGAATGGTTAAGAAAGACTAGTACCTGCCATCTTTTGTGGTGGGGGCATCGGAGTCCGCTGCGTCATACCTCAGGCACCGTAGACACCCATGGTGATGTTTGAAGCACGGTTATTTGGTCATCAGCACTATTCCATTTCTTCCACTGCCTGCGGTTCGTAACTACCTTACCCAATGAGTTTATATAAAATTTTAAGTATCATGATTCAATGATTGATTTTTCATAAGGTTTTGTTGACATAGATCGCTACTCCGTCGGACAATTTGTCGTTCGTCCTAATCGAGCAACACCGCTAGGCACAGACTAGTGACCATACCTGTATACAATGAGCGGCTCCCTCCTTCGCCTGTGTACTGCGTCTGCTTAGTGCAACCTTG